ATAAAAATCCACAAAGGTGGGGCCACTACATCATTAGAAGACTTGTTAAGGTAGACATGTAAATTAGGTTTTATTTGTGTTTATCAGATGCAAATAGGAGGAAATCTGAAAAATACACTAGTTTCCTTCCACTTCATTTTGCAAATTTCTTCATAAAATTATATATATAGGTAGATTAACATATCATCATTACTCTAAATAACAGTTTATGGAAATGTTTATATGTCCTTTACTTTTTCTGCAACTCAGAACCACCTCTTGCCTAGATGACACCAGGTCTACAGCGGAAAGCAGTGCTACAGACTGAGTCATACCCAAACTTAGTATCATATCCTGAAACCCAGTTTGGACAACTTGGCTGTGGTGGTATTTTTAAACCTCAACCAGTCACCAAGAATGGCAGCGATACTGCAAGTGAGGAGTGACCCATTGTGAACATGACAGAGAAACAAATATGCAGGTCAGCCCTTATTCTCAATGATATTTAAGAAACCTGTGCAAAACAAAAAAGCAAAACAGAGAAAACGTGGTCATAGTTTTGTTAATCTGAACTCTTCATGCGTCTAATAAAAAAATAAATTAGCTAATTAAAAAAAAAAAAAAAAAAAATCAATTCCTAATTCCTCACAGTTAAACTTTCATGCAGGGTTTAAAACACAGGGACCATGCTGTAGCTTATGCATACAGCAAAAACTGCAAATTCAGTCAACCTCAACCCGAACATAGGCAAAGTAAATAAAAAGAAGCCGACATCTCAACCGATTACTTTACCAATTCCAGGTTTACTAAAGCAAATTTGGAGCAACGGTAGTAGCCAGTATTACCAAACACAGAGAAGATACAAAAAAAGGTCTTAAAGGCTTCAATCTGAAAATCAACTTCAGCTTTTACTGACATCAAAAACCTTTGAACTTAATGACCCTTACACCTTCTTGCTAAGATCAAAACCTTGGATTTGGGCAACAAAATGATCCCCAATGGCATCTTCCAATATATTCAGTTACAACTTTTTTAGGTTAACCTCTGGCTCATTTACTTTCTTACATCGTTAGAACAATCCTTTCTTAGGTTATAAATGAAATCTCAGCCCCAGTGTTTCAGAATTAGGCACCTTATTGGTAGCAAAATGCAGCCAGGAATCATTTGAAAAAAGTCCCTGCTCACAGACTGTAAAACATATTAAAAAAGATAAAAGATAGAGAAAAAAAACTGTGCAACATACTGAATGCAATATATGTTGGTTAAGTTCCAACATTTCAAAGTCCAGAATGCTTTAAATTCCATCTACAACCCAAAATCTCCACCGGTACAAATCTCCTCTCTGCAAGCAGACCATAATTTTCCCTAAATGTGCACCAAACATACAGTTACCCTATTATCAGCACCGGATCACTGTGACTCAAAAAGCTGGAAAAATAAGGAACGTTGCATTGTTTGGTTTGAAAAGATTTGAATCACATGGTGAAGAAAAAAAAAACTCGTAATGTTACAGAAAAATAACAACTGGCTAAGCCTGATTAAAACAGGCAGCTTTAGGAAAATACAGTGAGGTTATTGAAATACAAGGACAGATGAAGGATCTTTTCATCAAGGTGGTTACTCTCTCGCAACAGTCTAGCACCAATATCTCCCAGCATCTCTGCCTCGAACACACAGGGAACAAATACTAAGAAATAAGAAAATGAAACTGATGTAGTGGCATTACCTACAGACGCACTGATATAGCATTTTCTGGCCAAGTTCCACTTTCCTTGTGGTCAAACAAAATGGTTTTGACCGATTCCTTTTTTTATTCTAGGAATTATAACTCATAAATGAGAAAAATGTACCGGAGGCTCTTTGCAAAAGGAAGTAGCTTTAAAATGGGACTTTAAGACTACCTCATACATGCATGAAAGTATATTCAGATGGTCGACTCATTTATGGACCGATCACGCAGATGTTCTTAATTTAAATAAACTCTTTGAACAGAAAGGGGATAAATACAATTTTTTTTTTTTTTATTTATATATCTGTGCAACCTGCTCTGCCAAGTAGATTTAAGGACACACGACTAAAACAAGAAAACCATGACAAGAGGCTTTTAGAGAGTGGATTAAATCTGATACAATCGGTAGCAGATACTTTGACAACATACAGCTCTATGAGCCAACCATGCAAAGGGTTGTGGGTCATGAATATACAGAACAAAATGCAATTCTGTTTATATTTAGGAGGCTAACAATAACCAAGAATCTGAACTGAAAACTCATCACTGAGATCACTTAAATAAGCATAAGTGCCAAAACTGTATCAACCAAAAAATATGCACACTTCAAAGACAATAGTGCAAAGGACTCTCTTTTCAATCTTCTTTGCAATCAGAAGATATGGTTTCTGATGCTCATGAAATGGGGGCTTCCAGATTAATATAGTTAGCAAAAAAAAAAACCAAACAATATAGTTTAAACATGAGTAAAAGGACTATGTCAAATGTCACCATTAGTGAAGCTAAAATTTCACTTTAATTCAGTAATGCTGGTGCCAAACAAATTGGTTGTTTGCTGCTGCAAGTTGAAGTGATAAAGTAACTACACACAGAACTGAATGTTATTTATTTGATTGCTTTTGGCCACAGAACTACATACACATCCACTCAGGACATAATGTCCTCTGCTACTGTACCGTAAATGTGCAAAAAATAAATAAGACTCACTATAATGAAATATGAAAGTACTGTTAGTCCAACCAAGGACAAGGTTAAAACATTAATGATGGAAAACTTTCAAACATTTCAAGGCAATACCACAATTCTAGTGAGGAGTGTTTTCACTCTTCACTAAATCTTTTCACATTTTAAAGTAAATTGAGAAACAGATTAGAAAATAACACTTCTTGATTTTAAACCAACAACTGTTAGTGTTTTGTTGAACCATCTCAAAGGACCTTTACATTTTGTAAAAGCTTTTGAGAAGCTGTCAAGCAAGCTGCAAGTTTCTGACTATTTTAGAACAAAATGCCAAGTGGTGTCAATAGTACACACATTTGTTACTTAGTAGAAGTACAGATACTGCAGTTTAAAAACACTCTGGTAAAAGTTGAAGTATCAACTTGATCTCTTTACTCAAGTAAAAGTGAAAAAGTATGTGTTCCAAAAACTACTTACAGTATAAAAGTATTTAAAAAAAAAAACTGCCAGATGCCACTATATAAATTAAAAGCTCATTTTTTCAACAATTTCGAAAAATTCTGAGACAGGGCCAAGGATGAGGGAGGTCTTGTTGGTCTCCATCTCTGACCTTTCAGACATTTTAACATCTTTCTCTGAATCCAGCATTGCTGCACGGCATCAACAATTCATGTTTGCAGTTTGAAGAACACCTGCTTGTTTCTGATGATTTCCTTTAGCTAGCCAATGACTGTTTGCGTTATATGACTCATCCAATTTACACTAGTTCTCACTAGATGTGCATGGTGCCAATGATCTGCATTGGATTGTGCACATGACGTGAAATAAATATTTATAAACATTAAACCGAAGCCAAGAGCAACAAGTAACGTTTGTTTTAAAAATGTAAGGAAAGTATAGATACTTGTGTGAAATGTAATGTAATGTGTGGAAGTCAGAAATAGGAAGAAAAATTAATAATGGAGTAAAATATGAAAACCCAAAAAGTGTACTTAAGTACAGTAACAAAGTAATTGTACTTCATTACTTGACACCTCTGCAAGAGAAGCATTTTAAAATATTGCAGGAAACCCAGGCAGATGGGAAGGAAATTATAGAAAAGTAAATACTGCAAAATTAATCCATTCCTATGATGAGTTTCAAAATTTAAAAAGCAATATATGGTTAAAGTTCTCATTTTCACAACTGAAGAATCATAAGCAAGACTTCTGCAACATCCCCTGCTCGATGTTAATAAAGCTTGCAGCCATGCCTGCATACAAACTGATCAAGTTGGACCCCATGTTCCTATATTTTAGTCTTTTCCCAAGGTTATGCTCACTGATCCGGTTGCTTAAGTCGACCGCAAAGTCTGAAAGCACTGCAAGCGCAAAGAGAGGCAAGGGAATACAGCTCAAGTGATTAGCGGGCAAAATGTTAGCTTGGCACGGATGACATTCCACCCAAAACATCGAAGTATCAATAGCATGCCCGTCTCCGTTTAAGCTGGAACACAGTGACCATTCAAAATGTTTTACTGTGAAGGCCAGTCAGCATCAGTAAAACAGCCGAAAGTTCGGCTAATGAATGAATTAAGCTAGCCAAAAGCAGCAAGCGACAGTTATTTTAGCATGCTAATGTAGCGCTAGCTTAGCACTACATCCATTCTTTTTCAAAGTGATAGTGTTTTTGATATAAAAACGACTTTTAAAGTTAACTACAAGGTTCTAACTCAAGTATAGCTATGGAACTATTTATGTTACATAACACTTAAACTAGCCGCTTCTACTCTCCAGAGAGTAGCCACCGTCACGGCTCAGGGTTTATCAACAAAACCACTTTTACTGTTAGCCAGGTAGCTACTCTTCCCAGCGGAACCCGATCCAAGACAGCATGACCTTTTCTTACGACGTGGCTTATTTAAATTCCGATAGTTTGATCTGCAACCGACAGTTTCTCTTAAAAAGAGAAACACTCGAGATAGATGTGGTTTAACGTAGGCTTTGAATGTGAAATGCAGCAGAACAGCAATTAGACTGCACCCAAAGGTTTGATGACATTAGGCTCGCGTTAGTTCAAAAAGGTAAGAGGGGAATTAGCTCGAAATAGGAAGCGTTTAGGTGTAATGTATCTTCCGCAAAATGTATATACATGTTGTACATAAGGTGATGAAATAGCTGTAGTCCTTCTCTGCGTCGAAAAAGACGAGTCTGCTCAGTAGGTAAACAACGGGATGAGAATGGCTTCCATTTGACAGGTGTTCCAGGGTAAGCAGTTGTTCGCAGTAAAGGGGTATTTCTGTCTCTTGTGCGCCGATTGCAGACATTATGAACAATGGAAATGAAGCACAAACCTGGTGGAGAGCAGTGAGACCGTCTACATTGGCGTAGTTGATGTCAGCGCCCCGGTCAAGCAAACGGAGCACCTCCTCTGTATCACCGCTTGAGCAGGCGGCCAGAAACACGGCGCCATCATCGAACTTCACCTTCGTCTTCTTTTTTTTCAGAACAGGAGGCTCCTGGTCCGTCTCCGAGCCCAGCCACCGCTTTAACTGTTCATTCCTTTTCTGCTTGGCGTCCGCCATCTTCATCCCCCTCCTGTCTCGGGCTTCTTTTCGTGCTCCGAGAGAGGGTATACTTTATAGAGCCACTATCCCACAGCTCACTGGGGCGTGGGAAGGGAGGGCTAGGGAGGAGGAGGAAGCGGAGGGAAAGAGGCGTCTGGATTGTTTTCCATAACCTCGCGAGACTTGGACTCCAGGAACTGCAGCACAAAAGACAATGCAATTATAAACAGCAGGGAAGAAAAACATAGAATAGCTTTTTTTAAATACCAGAATTCAATATAAAAATAGGAAAACGAATTTCAGATGGATTATCAGTATACACAGGGAAAATGTTGGCAATATTATTAGCTTTACAATGGGTAGAAGACATAAAACCATTAAAAACAGTAATTTGTTCAGATTCAAGCTCTGCATTATTAAGTTTAAAATATAATCAGTCAGATAGTAGGATGAACATTCTATTAGAAATATTTCATAAATTATTCAGAATAAAAAATATGGGTTTCATTGTTGTTTTTGTGTGGGTTCCAGCACATATTGGAGTAGAAGGAAACAAGAGGGCAGATAAAATGGCAAAGAGAGCAATTCAAAATCCTATTAGTTTTACAGTTAAACCAAGTAAATCGGAGGGAAAGAGTTAATTAAAATTATTAATTAAAGAAATAATTGAAGAAAAATGGCACAAAAAAAAAGGTTGGATGAAGAAAAAACAGGAATCTGGTTTTATAAAATTCAGAAGATAGCAGGAAAAAGAAGTAATGGAAGATGAAATAGAAAGGAGGAGGGAGTAATAACAAGGTTAAGAGTTGGGCATACAGGACTTAGTTATACACTTTTCAAAATTCAAAAGCATTCTACTGGCAAATGTGATTACTGTGCAAAATATGAAACAATAGAACATGTTATACTGGAATGTCATAAATATGAAAGCAAAAGAAGATATATGAGGAGAGAATTTGAATGTATTAAGGAAAAGATGGATTTTTTTAGATATTTTGAAGAAGAATTTAGGAAGTAAACATATACGAAAACCTATTCGATTTTTAAAGAAAACTAAATTATTTCATAAAATTTGATTAGAGAGGGTGAATGTATGTATGATATAGATCGGTAGAGTGTTTTTTGTGTGTGTGTTTTCTTTTTTTTCCTTAGAAATTATATATATATGTTTATTAGTAGATAGTCCATCACAAACCACACTCCATATTTAAGTAAGTGGCAGTAATGCTACTAAATGTTTGTTGCCAACCACCAATAAATCCAAGAAGAAGAAGAAGAAGAAGAAGAAGAAGAAGAACAGCAGGGAAGACAGATACTTAAAAAGACGGACAAATATACAATTTTCATCCTTTCTTATGTATTTATTTGTGTAACTTTACATAAATGTTAAGTTTATTTAAACTTACATAAATAACATAAAAATGTTATTTATGTAAGTTTACTGGGTAATGATTAAACTTACAAGAAGCAAAAAGATCATCACTAGTTTTGATTAGTAATATTTTCCCTAACCACACCAGAGTTTTTTCAATCTTACCCATTATCTTTCTTTAAATATATTATTTTTGATTTTGTTCAAGCAGTACATTTATATAAAAGTATATAAATATTTTTGTATGACAACTATGATCCTTTAGAACCATAATGCATCATTCCTTCTTATTCAGTTGTGATATATTTGGAAAAGGCTGCTTATTTGAGTAAGTTTTATGTAAACGACATAATTAAAAAAGGGGAAGTACTAATTTAAAATATTGTCAGATATGTAAAAACATCTCATAAAACAATTATGTAGAAGAGTAAGCAATGAAAAATTGAAAATAGTAATTTGGTAAACTAATTTATGAAACAGTATTTATTTTTATAATGTTAATTTTTTTACATGCATTAAGTGTTTTAATAAATATGGTTTACACCTTGAACTTTTTCTTCACGTGACATTCTCAATTTTAACATTACCAACTGCAAAACATAGCTGTGCAGTGGAGTTTATTACAACATGCAGTGCATGCTTTTATAAAAAATAAAAAGACAAGAGACATATGGCTTTCATTTCTATTCAGCCAATGTGAGGTAATTTGCATATTCACCTTATGCAACAGCTTCAAATATCTTGAATTATGTCAGTGGCTGTAAAATGTGTGTCTGTGCTTTGTTGAATTATTCTGACTGGGTTGGGAGCATCTGTGAACATCATGTATTTTTGTGAATTTAACTCTGGACTTTTTACTTGACTAAATATTCTCTGATCTAAACCTTGTTCTTTTGGCTCCTGTTTACAGTCGTCCAACTGGATGTTGTATTTCTATCTAAGTCTCAAGTCCTTTAGAGTCTCTTTGTACTTGTTTTCCAGCATTGCCTTGTATTTAACTACATATAGCTTCGCTTCAGCGCCAATCAGCTCTCCTGTCCCTGCTTAAAAGAAGTATTCCCACAGCATGATGCTGACACCGTTGTGTTTCACCATAGTGAGTGACTGTTCAGGCTGATATGCAGATTTAGTTCACTGCTACACAAAGTAAGCTAAGCTGAATAATTTTCTGTGAAAGATTAAAACTTTGGATGCCATTTTCAAAGTTTCATATCCTAAGCCTTCTGTTGTACTTTATTACTGACCTGTTTTACTTTCCAGGGGTCTCCATAACCTGATCCTCAATATCTACTGTCCTGCAGGTTTTAGATGCATCGCTGCAACAACACAGTTGAATCAAACTGAATCAAAAATGGCTCATTACCAGTGTTACGCCCCCAAGGTCTAGGGGTCTTGGGGAAGCAACATAAATAATGTCTGGAGTAGTTCGGGGGAAGTTAAAAATTATTTACCAGTATTACAAAAAAAGATGGTTAAACAGCCCCAAAACACAATATAGCTTAACTCAGTTACAACAAAACAACAAAAAAGGTAAGGGCAAACAAATTCAAGATTGGCTGAGAGCAAATAAAATTACAAACTGCCCAAAAACAGTCAGACT